CCCCCAGGAACGAGGTATGCTAACTTTCGCGCTATCTGGTTTATCTTGCCTTTGAAGGATTCTAACTTGAGCTTCGGAGCCCTTACGCCGAGTTCTCCCCGGAGCTTCTCTTCTCCTTCCGTTTCAGGTCCCTGTTACTCAGTTCAGAGGCAAGATCATCGACAGCTAAGAACGGCCAGATTGTGCATCATCACTACCCATTATATGAAAAAAAATGTATATTTAGGAGGGAAGAAAAGGAAAAGCTGAAGGTCTATCAGCCCTAAAAGGAAATCCTTAGATACCACAATTTCTTCACATCTCCCAACAAAGTACTCTAGCAAGTGAAGCCCTCTTGCTTTATCTCTGTTCTTCATTGCTTGAAAATCTTCAGGTGATGCATAAATACTGTCCAACAAGTAAACAAAGCAGCAGAGACAATGGACCCATCAATATATCACTATGAAGGTATTAAATTGTAATTTCAAAGCAAGTTTTGACCTGAAATCAAAATTTTCAGAAATGATTGAAATTTCATCATTATAATAAACTTCAAGAAAATATTCAGGTTTCAGTATTTCTTCTATTTTTCCCAGTTTTCTCCTTTCTTCCTTTCTTTTGTCTATTATTCATCTCATCTTTCCAAGTATCCTCCATTTCCTATTCCTTCCCAATATCTCTATTAATTTTTCCTACTTCATCTAAGCCTATATTTTTTCTTTTCACATTGAAGAGGTTAGAAGAATTTGGGGTAGAGTAAGAGTAAAAAGGACATGGGTAGAAGTAATAAAAAAATATTTAAGCACTAACAATTTAACAGTGGATATGACTTTAAATAGTATAGATTGGCAAAACAAGATTCATGTAGCCTACCCCATATAGTTGGGATAAGGCATGGATGATGATGATTACTCTATATTTTTTATTTCATGCATGTGTTATTCCATAGTAGATGTATCAATATAATTTAGCTTTTCATAGATAACCATAGTTTGAAAAGAAGATACCCAAAACTACAAAAACATACAATTAAAAGATGGAAAATCCATCAGATACTATATTTTGATAGATATAAAGTCACAATAACTGGGAAGAAATGGAAGCAGTGGAATGGAAGCATACTGTAACCAACCTAACAATAAAACTAGCTCTGCAGGTCATGGCTTTGCCATATCTTTTCATTGTGGAGGAATATAATAGGTAAATACAACAAAATATGGAAGGCTCGTTTGTATCCCTTCACAATATGCCAAGTTGGATAACAAAAGAATTTCAACTAATGTACCAGTTAAAGAATATAATCTTAGTCTGCAATAATATCATTTCACTATGTTTTAATTAAGGAGATCAACTCCGATGCTTCTGGTCACAATCTTTCTATACAGTTTAGCTCAGCATTCATACCAAGAGGGCAGGAAAAAAGGCATTGTCAACTAGCTTGATGTTCTAGGAAAATAAAGTCCCAGAAAAATGCACGATAACCATCTTTAGAGTTGAAGTCTTGATGAGATGGCCAACATATTCTCATTGGCTCAACAACTTATAAGCTATGATGCCCAAATATGGATATGGACATAGACATGGATATGAGAAATGGGGATAGACTCCATTTCCTAAAATTCTGGACACTAGACAGAGATATGGGTATCCCAAGTAATATACTTATATCATGCACGTGAAGGCGCTATGGCAGGGATACCTTACTTTAACAACCCAAAATCCAGAAGCTCGGTTAAATATTGAGTGGCATTATACCCAAAAGACTACACATTTAGAGCAAAAGCTTAGAATAGAATACTAATTTTTAATTGAAATTGTCAATAAAACTCAGAATGGGCAGTAAGAAGCATTACTATGGAGGAGAAAAAAACAACTAAGCTACACATGAAGAAATCTAGTAGGAACTTCCTAGGGGACATAGACCGATTAATATAGCGGAGCAGGTCATGTAATAAAACAAAAGGAAAAGATACTTTCCGAATTCCTTGGAGAGCTTTCTTTTGGATCAACGAATTCGTTGAAGAAGTTAGGTTTACAAAGAAGTCAAAGCCATACAACTGCTGCTAAACTACCGCCTTCAAACTAATAGATTTTTAGAACTACATTCAACGATGATATACTTTGCTTGACGTCAACGGTTCAACATTTGGATTTCCACAAGTCCTACCTGTATCAAGATCTCCACCTAACCTATATATCATAGAATAACTGTTGGATCTCCTATCAATATGTTAGTTGATGTAACCGTTTTTGGTCACGTACCATTTTTTGGGATGTGTAAAATTTTTTTGGCTAAGTACCTCGTGTTTGACCTGGTGGTGACGTGTCTTGGTGATGAGCTACTTGGTGGCGAACATCCTGAGAGAGAACTGCCTGGTGGCGAACTGCCTGGTGATGCTCCCTGGTGGCGAACTGCCTGGTGATGCTCTCTGGTGGCGAACTGTCTGGAAGTGCTCCCTGGTGGCGAACTGCCTGATGGCGAACTGCCTGGTGGCGAACTGCCTGATGGCGAACTGCCTGGTGGCGAACTGCCTGGTGGCGAACTGCCTGATGGCGAACTGCCTGGTGGCGAACTGCCTGATGGCGAACTGCCTGGTGGCGAACTGCCCGGCAGTGCTCC